GGTGGGTGCTGTACCTGCTGCGGGCGCCAGGGGTGGGGGAGGTGGGTGTTGTACCTGCTGCGGGCGCCGGGCGTGGGGGAGGTGGGTGCTGTACCTGCTACGGGGGTGGGGGAGGTGGGTGCTGTACTTGCTTGTTGATTGGCAAGGTTGATGGTGGAACAGCTTGTTAATTGGCTTGTGTGTCGGCCAAGGCGATGAAAAAGACAAATATTTACTGTTATTTCGTTCAATTGGGTCCTTTTTTCTTCGTAATATTCTGTATTGTAGATCAATTTCTTAGGTGTGTCAATGTGCAATGGTTGTAAATGCTAGTAATTATATTAGGTATAATTTATTGTGGCCTGTGCAGCATGTGGAGGGCGAAGTGTACGAAGTGGACGAGCGGATGCTGGCGCAGCTGGACGTCCTAGAAGACCATCCTAAATATTATGAGCGCGAGGCGAGTAAAATTCCCAGTAAAATTTACAGACGCGGCAGCTTCTGATTTGGATTACCAGAAGCTGGGGCGACTCTAAATTTTGTTACCCAGTAAAAATTTACGGACGCGGCAGCTTCTGATTTGGATTACCAGAAGCTGGGGCGACTCTAAATTTTGTTACCCAGTAAAAATTTACGGGCGCGACAGCTTCTGATTTGGATTACCATAAGCTGAGGCGACTCTAAATTTTGTTAGGGGAGATGTTTGCTAATGTGTGCATCCAACATTGAGCATATTGATGAATTAAATTATTGTTATAAACGAAGTCGCTATGATTATGATCGTCTTGAAATGGAGGAAGCGTAGGTATGTACGGACGTAGTCGTCCATTTAATCAGACCATAGCGACGTGTGCAGTTGATTTTTCTTTCACGCACTCGCTTATGCAATCTGGCCCCACCAGGACGTGTTCATTCCGGTTAAGATAACCGACTAGTTGCTATAACCCATGGTTGAACTATATAAGGTTGACCCACGAGAAGTTCCATCTTTCAGTTCCGCTTTGATATTACGTCACGTAGATCGAGAAACGTAAACAATCCCGTCATACCCATGATGGATTGGTTGACTGGCTTGATCGCATTTCGGTGATTGGTTAATGCCCGTGACGTCATTGATCTCAGTACCGTCACAGGCGAACAACAAACTACATTCGCAAAAATGAGCTTCTCACGGGTCAACCTTATACTAGTTCAATCATGCCTATTACCGTGCTGGGGCTCGGAAGCTGCCTTCATGATCGTGAAGGTACAAGTTCGCTTATGAATCATAATTAAAACACTTTATATTAGTTTAAAACACTTTAATTAACACTTGAACACGAATACATACTTTATACGAATAATATTACGACCTCAATTTATGTTAATACATTAAAAATAATAACGATTTCTAACCCTTTCAACTTTAAGTTATTTTCATTAGCAAGGATTATTCAGTCTTTAAGAAATAACTTCAAGTTAGCAGTCCAGCCTGGCATTTTATGCGCTTGAAAATTCTTGCAATTTTGGAATCCTGTTCCTGGGTTTGGAATCCCGAATCCCGTCGTTATTCCAGTGAAGCTCTAATTACATGCAGACTCTGTACACCCAAATTTTCCAATAAAAAATACATTTTACTCATTTTAATTCAGATCCGTCGAGTGACTCTGACACCTCAGGCTGGTGAGGCCACTCCACTCACTCCAGCCAGTGAGACCACTCCACCCACTGCCGCCAGTGAGGCCACCGTCGATGCGTGGGTGTATTTGCTGCCCTCGTTCAAGCCTGCCATGTTGGACCTGCCCAGACTCAAGAGCTACTCGGCCTCAGGGCCTCATGGCCTCGCGTACATGCCTAGGTATGCGAGGCCCAAGCCTGGGCCAGAGTACTGGGTGGACGTCAAGGACGGCGTAGCACAGGGCCCCCCGACTGGAGAAAATGGTCAGGAGTAGGAGGGTTAAATAAGGAAGGAAATGAATATGGTCAGGAGTAGGAGGGTTAAGTAAGGAAGGAAATAAATATGGTCAGGAGGGCTGAACAAGGAAGGCAATAAATATGGTCAGGAGTAGGAAGGCTAAATAAGGAAGGAAGTAAATCTGGTCAGGAGTAGGAAGCGGGCTAAATAAGGAAAAAAATATATACGGTCACGAGTAGGAGGGCTAAATAAGGAAGGCAGTAAATATGGTCAGGGGTAGGAGGTAGGCTAAATAAAGAAGGAAATAAATCTTATATACTTTTACACAATTTATAATCTATAAGAAGCCTCTTGCTCCTCCTGTCTGCGAATTGTATGTAGTTTTGCCTTTGACAGCATTCGGCATCAAAATTTACTGATTATTCAATTTTTGTCATTTTATATGTATTTTATATATATATTGTATGTATGATATTTGATATTTTAATCCTGCATAACTTTTAGTTTTATTGTTGCAGTGACGACATCAGCGACCGAGATGACATAATGTGACTCCTGAGCCTGCACATCTTACATTCCACAGCACATCTTGCATTCCACAGCACATCTTACATTCCACAGCACATCTTACATTCCACAGCACATCTTACATCCCACAGCACATCTTACATTCCACAGCACATCTTACATTCCACAGCACATCTTACATTCCACAGCACATCTTACATTCCATTACATCCCACAGCACATCTTACATTCCACAGCACATCTTACATTCCACAGCACATCTTTTAGCCTCGTAACGTTGACTTAATAAAAATCCTTGTGATGGAATTATCTAACTCTGCTGTTAAACAGGGACTCTACTCGCGTATGCATTTGTTATCAAGTTCTCTATTGTTATCTGGTGTGTCGTGGGCACAGCTGACGCGTCATTTGTTATCAAGTTATCTATTGTTATCTCGTGTGTCGTGGGCACAGCTGACGCGTCATTTGTTATCAAGTTATCTATTGTTATCTCGTGTGTCGTGGGCACAGCTGACGCGTTATTTGTTATCGAGTTCTCTATTGTTATCTCGTGTGTCGTGGTCACAGCTGACGCGTCATTTGTTATCAAGTTATCTATTGTTAGCTCGTGTGTCGCGGATACAGCTGACGCGTCATTGTGGAATGTGACTAGAATCTTATTGTGACGATGATTCATGATCCTGCGTACAATTTGAATATTTAATTGAGTGAATCAGTAATAACCCATTGTATATCCTAAGACTTAATTTTTCAGTGCATTCAACAAACGTACATTTGTTTTCTCAGTTCTCTCCTGACACCTGTACACATTCATTTTGCATGATCTCGTCTATACTCTATCAACATCCTACGTACTCGCACTGATCTTACCCGATACAATTCTCGCCATCATCTCACTTCTTCTAATTCATTCAGTCTCTCGCTCACCTCCCAGAATAAATTAGCAGAATTAGTTATTTTCCTTTTATTACACTCCCTAAATAAGCACCGTCTGAACGCGTCCCTTGCTAACCTCGTTCACAAGACACTGACCGAACACCAGGCTGCAGCACGGACTGGCCCGAGAACGCTTCCTCGTGGCACGCCGCTGCACACTGAAGCCCAGTCTGATACGGACCCATTAATACTGACTCGTTGTCGTCTCCCTACTAGAAAATCTCTGATTCATTTGAGTACATTACTCTCAATTCCTAAAGACTTCAATTTACGCAACAGCCGCTCATGAGGGACACTGTCAAATGCCTTGGCAAAATCAAGGTACACTGCATCTACTGGTTCCCTTTCGTCCAGCAGGCGAGTCCATTCACTCAGAGTAGACAAGAGGCTCGTGGTGCAAGATCTACCGGCAATAAAGACATGTTTACAGTCTGATAGGATATTATTGACAGTCAAATGATCGATCAATCGATCCCTCACGACTGATTCCATTACTTTGCAAACGACACTTGTCAAACTGACAGGGCGATAGTTGCCCGGGCAACTTATGTCACCTTTTTGTGCTCCTGTTTTGTCACACATCACCATGTGCTCTTGACACCTCGTCATCACCACGTGCTCCTGACACCTCGTCATCACCACGTGCTCCTGACACCTCGTCTTCACCACGTGCTTCTGACACCTCGTCATCACCACGTGATCCGTACATATGCCACGTGGCGTATATATAAGTAATATAACTTCATCTGGAGCACACACTGGTATTGACCAATTAAACATCGGAGCGGTGCGGCCCAATTGGCAATTACAGGCAGGGTGGCCCAGTGGTTGGGCAGGGTGGCCCAGTGGTTACAGTTCAGAGTACCAGGATTGGCGCAGATAGGCGCGGGTTCGATCCCAGCTCTGTGCGCCAGTTTCTGGTCAGAATCGGCAAGGAGGCCGGGCGGTTAAGCACAGCAGAATTGTAGAAGTGAGTTGCGAGTTCGAGACCGCAACAAGCTGTGAATGTTCTGCGATGTTGAGAATCGGCGACAGGCCTACGGCCTAATAACGCTGAAACCGCTATTATATTATTAATTGATGTTCGTGTCTGAGGACTGGTCATGCGTGCCGCCGGTTTGGGAACAGGCTGAGAAGTAATGGGTCTTCCTGGAAAATTACCAATTTGAGCTATTTATTTGTTAGGCTAAACAACAACTTTCATTGCGCTGAGAAGTAATTTATACATATTCTCTCAGCTTGAGTTATTTATTTTTTCGAAATCAAAATTATTTTCGAAATCGCAAATAATTTTTAAAATAAATTACCTTATGATGCTTTGCTGCGTCAAATTTGGTGATGATAAATAATATGACTATATTACTTAGGGGCATTTATCCTCTTATCAGTGGAATATATTTGGTGGCATTCCAAGAAGCGGTTGACAAAAGAATACATATTCGGCAAAAATCCACGTGTGGCCTGGATCTGACCTCACTTTAAATTAATTATTATCATGATGCAATAGCAGGAAGCGTCCCGTAGTTATGCGAATAGTTTTAACATTCAAAGTAATGGTTAATGTAACGTTAACTTCGTCCAGATTAGGCTGAGATTGACTACTAGAGACGAGTTGATTCCGAGTAGCTAGCTATATTTTATAGGCAAATCATTTGCCGCAAAACTGCCATGTAAGAAATACGCGAGTTCTGATGCATGATAATAAGTACATTTTAGTATATTTTTACTCATGTGAACATTTAACAAAAAAAAATACCCAATCATTTGAATGGATATTTGCATATCAGTTTTATAAATGAGTCGAAAGAAGTCGTGGTAGTAAATCATGGTCGTGCATCTTATGAACGCTTCATAAAACATCAAATTAATTCGTACGTTTGAAGAATTAAAATGCAACTAAAAACCCAGTAATTATGTAAATTCAGTATTAATTGTTACACATGGGGACATCATTCCATAGGACGATGTGCAAAGCATATATGCATTTTCCAACCGCGCAATACGCACGAATAACGTTCTCAGACGAAGTGGTCAACGAACATTGGCAGGGTGGCCCAGTGGTTTAAGTTCAGAGGACCAAGCTTAGAGCAGAGAGGCGCGGGTTTGATCCCAGCTCTGTGCTCCGTTTCTGGTCAGAATCGGCAAGGAGGCCGGACGGTTAAGCACAGCAGAATTGGAGCACTACTCTGCACGTTGCTGCAAAGAGGCACGTTGCACCATCTTGCTCGAGATGAGCCTGCGTGTTTTTGAAGGCATGTTTTTTTGTATATTTTTTTATTATTATTATTATTATTAATTTTTTATTATTATTATTTTTTAGTTTGTATTTTATTTATTATTTTTACACTTATTATTATTTATTTTTTTAAATTCTGAAGCATGTGACAAGTGTCCGGTACTTGTTGATGACACTTTCCTGCCTGGAGTGCTCTGGCTTGTGGCTGGGCCCAAGCTTTCTCCTGTTGCCCCCAACTAATGACTGAGATCAGGCTGGGCAGTGCATTAGCACTCGGAGCCTTCAAATTCAAATCATCATCAGAATTGGAGCAGTGAGTTGCGAGTTCGAGACCGCACAAGCTGTGAATATTCTGCGATGTTAAGAATCGGCGACAGGCCTACGGCCTAATAAACGCTGCAACAGCTATTTTAACAGCTCATGCATATACGCTCTCCATTGCAATTGGCGCACCACTGATCCAAGTATTAGACACAGATAAAAGCCATCTACAGGCTGCGAAAAGAGGAGAAACGAGGCATGGCCGAATAGGTTTGGCCAGATGCGCTTCTACCTGTACAGTAGAGCGCGATTACGTCAGTCCTGGACGGAGCAGAAGGTTTATTCTGATCCGGCGTGGACTGCGGACAGTTTGGCTTACGGCACGTGTATAAGATCATAGTAGCTTATCTGGGATAGATTCCAGTTCGAGCTGCGATCGACGACGGACGTTAGTAAGTTCCTAAGCCAGTGAGCCTAGCCTACATATCTGGTTTCAGTTTTGAAACTTGAGATTACTGTGGTTTTGAACTCTGAGAAACCTAAGAATTAATAAAAAGCGCGACATTGTCAACTACGAGAATGTCGCGCCATAAGAGGCGGAAGGAGAGTAGCCTGTCTTCAGATGAAGGCAGCAACTCTCCTTCTGTGCCTGAACTAGTTGGGTTGCCTTTACCAGTGGGAGATAGATCAGATGATCTTGTTTTTGTCCCAGAAACACCTAGCTCACCATCATTAGATGCATCCTCAACTATCCCAGGCTCTGCTTTTGGGAGGCCAGCTGCCACTGCCACTGGTGGAGAGACTGGTTTTTCCAGAAAGAATGACTTTGGAGGTTTTCCTGCTGGCAATCACCCTTGTGATCTCTCTCTTGGCTCAGAAAGTTCTGAAGATGAGATCTTAACTCCTGCCCAGAGACAGGGAAAAGGCCATAGACTATCCTCTGATTCCTTTGGGAAAGTTATCATTATCGAGCCAGTGGCTGATGCTCGCCCAGTTGAAAAGTTTTTTTCAAATGACTTAGCCCTCAGTAAGGCCTTAGCTGAGTCTCCTTTTGGCAGGGCTGGAATTGCTAAGTTTAGTAAAAATCTAGGACGCAAGATTCTGGTTATTACCTTGGAAGATAAGCCTGGTGTAGAGATGTCTGCTTTGCTGAGCACCACACAACTTGGTTCCTGGATTGTAAAGTGTCGTGTCCCAGCCAATCACTCCAAGTCTGTTGGAGTCATTGGACCCATGGGAGAGGATATCTCAAATGAGGAACTTACTGAAGCCTTGGATCTGGCTGGCTATACTGGTGCCTCTGCGGAAAGAATACAAAAAGGTAAAGAGAAGATCAATACCTCTATGTTTAAAGTAACTTTCAATACAAACACTCTGCCACCTTCTATCAAGCTAGGTTACCAGCGCTTCCAGGTAAACCCGTACACTGCAAAACCCTGGCAATGCTTCAAATGTCAGAGATTTGGACACAGTGCTATAAGCTGTAGGAGTGCTCCACGTTGTGTTAAGTGCGGAGGTGCCCACAGTATCAAAGACTGCACAACTCAGGGTCCCCCTCATTGTTGCAACTGTGGCGGTGAGCACACAGCAAGCTATGGAGGGTGCAAAGCTATGAAAGAAGCACAGATAGTTGAAAAAATCAGAGCTAAGGAAGGAATTTCTTATAAGGATGNGTGGGAAACCCATATCTTGGGAATTTATTGACATGAACCGTAGCTAAGTTATGAAACCCTTAGCTTCATGAATAATGATCTTTCTACAGATGAC